GACGTTCCTCAGTAAACTGAAATTATTACCGTTTATCATCATATCATAATAATCTTCAAACTCACAATGTTTAATGGTAATAGAAATTGTATGTGTCAAACGGGAATAAGTCTGAAAAGCGATATGGACACACCATGTCATCGATAATCAATCAGAGACTCATTACCTAACTATTGTGTTGATGTCAGTCTTTAATTAGTTTTATTAATTACCGCTTGTCATTACATGTACGTTAGTTAATTAGTCATTTTGTATCTCTGTCATTATTTCACCTGATGACGACGATGTAAATTTTAGAAACGTTGCGTACAATAAAACACAGGAGTAGCATTACGCCCTGCTGTTCTGCTCCTATTTGAAGCTATGGGATACACTTTGCAAGAACAGCGATAGCTTTTTTCGGTTTCTGTCTTTCAAGCGCTAGACTGTCACTAACGGGACAAACCAGAGAGAAACAAATCGACATTTAGGTTCAGTAGATGGTAATGAATACATGAATGTATAGCAGGAAATTTGGAGATGGATTCCATTTCACCGAACGTGTGCCACCTCAACTCTGTGACCAAAAATCAATATCAAAATCTAACTGACACACACAAAATATATTTGAAGATAAACGTAAAAATAATCAAACATCAAGTATGTGAACTCTATAGATGAAATAGAATGGTAGTTTATATATGATACAGGAGTGATAATAATCCATATTAAAATTAATAATCGTATGATTTATTACACCTACTTCAGACGAGTATAATTGTTAATTACAAATCAGAAGAAGATTGGAACATCCTTGACGGTAACAAAATACTTGGGTATAGAATAAAAATCAAAAAGTTTTGTTACTGAGAATCTTAATGGTACCTACCTGCAATATCTTTCTCTCTTAGGTTTCCTCAAAATCAAAATATAACTGACACACACAAAATATATTTGAAGATAAACGTAAAAATAATAACATCAAGTATGTGAACTCTATAGATGAAATAGAATGGTAGTTTATATATGATACAGGAGTGATAATAATCCATATTAAAATTAATAATCGTATGATTTATCACACCTACTTCAGACTAGTTAACTTAGTGTCGTTGAATGGATTATCTCCCTTCCAGACACCTCTTCAATAGATAAAACCAGATTTAGTTACAGTAATTGCAATTTTGAGGTGATCCGCGTGTTTGGTCTTGGTAACTTATACCTTTAAAGTTGTTTACCTCCTGTCAGCGATAGTTTAAACTCTGTAATTATGAACTGTGGAGCTCGTTGAGTTTCTCTTTATTCTGAATGGTCTGTAACGTCTTCAATAGAATATCGGTATGCAAATTACACAAGATCATCAGAGCACCTGATTATAACATGATATAATCGCAAATTCTTGAAATATTAGTTGAAATCAAAAACCAAATTTCTTTTAGTGGAGCAAATTAAGTGAGTTACAATGCGCTATCTCTCGGCATCTCTTTCAGAGAGTCCACATAGCTAATAATGTTTATTTCATATTTCTATTCTCAATGTCAAATAATTGCTAAAACATCCCCAATTATTCTGTTTATTATGCTCGATATGAGAAAGAATGAAATGAGTCAAGCAACAAGGGACCATTAACAAAAAGGGGATATTTTTCCGGACAAAAGACGATTATGATTTATAACTTTGGACAGATTAGACGAAAATTTATAGATGAAAACAGAACAGTAAGGGGACAAGAAAAACATCGAATGAAAGCTTCAGGTACAAGATTTAGTCTTAATTTCCTTGGTTGATTAGCCGCCTATTCCGACTGACTGACTCCGGACAGTGAAATATGTGAACGTCATGAAATTAGGTCGGTAACAAGCTAGAGCCGTCATAAAGCATCACAATCTCCTGGTCATATGATGTGAGTAGCAGCGTGATGAATCCTATTATAAATTAGAGTTGAGGGGCTAATACCGTAATGCCAAGGTGACAAGTCCAGGTGGACAATCTGTTGACACCCAAGGTAACTGTGCGTTTGGGTTGTCAACTTTAATCCTAATGTGTAATCCATAATTTTCAATAATATGTGAAGGATAATTTTCTAACCTGGAGAAATTACCTTTTAATGACGCTGATAACAAGTAGAAACATCATATATAGATACAGCTTTATAGAACAACAATTACTGGTTCAAGTTTTATGTTGTTCTATAAAACTGTGTCTATATATCGTACTCACAATTACTAAATACCATTTAAAGAATTTAAGTAGAAACATCGATAAAAACCAGTTTAAAGGGTAAATGTCAGTGAATAATTGTTTTACCAACTGATTGAGGTAAATTTCTTTATCGGTATCACTTTTGAAATATGAAGGCAATAATTACCCAGGACACTGATAATGATTAACGAACTTGAAACTAAAAACAATAAATTTGACTAAACAAATGAGACTAAGGTTCATAACAATCATATATATATATATATATATTTTATTTGAAATAAGACAACAACGAAGTCAAGGGGTGACGCTATGGTTAAATATGAGCCGAAATAAATCAAAATTTCAATCAAGCACAACGTTTCAACAATTTACAGTGTAGCAAAGTCAAAATGGCGTTCCATTGGATAAATATTTGTAAACCGTTCTGGATCCAAAGGAATAAACGCTTGGAAAACACAACGTTTCAACAATTTACAGTTAATAAACCATTCTGAAACAAGATACTAAACTGTGTAAGAATTACCACTAAATTGTTGACATTAGTAACCAATAAATCAGCGTTTTTCTCCTCAATAAATAGAAAATTACCCCGATACATGGTTTATACCAATACTCGATGAAAACATCAACCAAATCGGACGATTTAAAGTCGATAATTAGAGACCCTGTCATTCAGACTGGTTAGAAATGGTTATTTATGGACAACTGTTAACAACATAATTGCAGAATTACTAAAACAGTTTATAGACTTAATTACGTTTAAGAATAGTATTTTGCAGGGTATTGCTGTCAAACAGATAATGCTTATCCAGAGATTGGCCTCTTTTTTATGAATGTTTATTCCCATTCAAAATTTTTCTTTAAGGAATTAGGGTGTCTATAAACCCAAGACTTTACCGCACTAAGGCTGAACTGAGTTGTAAAGAGAATGAAGAACTAAGGCACATACTTGACACAACTGACCAATGAAATGTCATCTCACACAGAGAATGAAACACCCATTAAGAACATCTCAAAAAGTGCTTCTCAACCTTAAGAACCACCTCTACTTTTCTCAGCCATTTTACCCCTTCATAAAAAGCCAAATTACCGAAAAACGTAGAACTGAAACATGCTTGTAAGACTTTGTTTCTAAGTTAAATTTGAAATTTTTAAAGGACATAGTCCATGGATTACAATTCACGCAACGTAAAGGTCAACCCTCTAAAAAATAATTCATCCCCAATTCCCCCAACCTGAGCATTTCGAATTCACTCCTGGGGTGCACCTGTACCACGGTTGAGAAACACTGGCCTTCGATGTTTGTTCTACACTCAAAGAAAATTGTCACCAAAACCCAGACCAGTTTCGTCTTTTAAAGTAATACAAAGTAAATATATAATGAATCGAGATAAACAGATATTTCCTTCTTTTGTTAAATATATCATATACAGGAGCGTCTAAATCAGTGACATGGAACACAGATCAGACAATAGACGTTAATATCAGAACAAGATCGCCTAAAAGATAGACACGTACTTGTAAATAGTAGAATAATAGTATACAAGGTTATAATTATAAAGGAATAGTTAAAGTTGTAGGTTTGGGTGATATAGAAGCATGAACCGAATCTGTTATATCGATATTATAATCTAGATTGATGGTTGATAACATACAGAGTGTAATAACTGTTTCCTTGTGACTGTAAACTCTATACAAATCAACTAACCCTAACCCTAACCCTAACCCTAACCCTAACCCGAACCCTAACCCTAACCCTAACCCTAACCTTTGTAAAATGGTCAATGTTATACAAAGTATCCTTTAATAATTATAATCAAGCTAAAACTACACTATAATTAAGGTGTAAAAATACACTTTTCTTGAGAACGTACGTTCTATAAAATTTAAAACCGCTGTAATCAACTTAAATTAAAAGAAAATTTAAAATCAATTTTAGTGATTGACAAATTAGATGATGAAGTTTTTGTGAAAAACACCTCTGGTTTCACTGGCCATTTGTAAGAGAATGTAAAATTCATGTCGTATTTACCAGCTCTTACGCCGACTGAGGAATGATATATTGATTGCACTTTTGATAAGACAGTAAGTATGTGCCAAGCTTTCATTCGGCATATACTGGAAAGTTTTCAACTAGATTTCTGGAAAAAGTTATAGAAGGTTGAAGCGGATGTTGATAAAATGTGGTGGTCAACCTTCAGATTGGCTGCCAAAGATCTTCATGGTCATGATATATCGAATTTATATCCGAAAACTAAGCATTGGCCAGGCTTTCATGTGACATATTGGAAAGTTTTCAGCGATATTTTTTTAAAAAAATTGTGATTTAACATGGAAACAGATGGCAAATGAATTACTGGAGTTGGTCCTGTCTATGTGCAAAGGGAGGCAACTATTGTCTCTGTTCCTAAATTTCTGAAGTTTTTGATTTCTAATTAAAGATAGCATGGTATGGGAGGTAACTCACCTAATGACGGATAAGACCATATTTGATTAATAATTACTAATAATAATTTCTGCATTGAATCATTAAGAATCAACAAAGAAGATCATTATATGTACATATATACACGTTTTTTTTTCATTATCTTTTAAAGAAAAATGTAACAAACTTGCTCAAACCCAAAACAACAATAGGTCATTAATGACAAGACCGCATGCTTTGTCGCGTCTTTCTGGAATGTATCAGGATTTGAATTATATTTGTGTTGCAACGTGCTGAGTTGTTAAAGGAGAGTGTTATACCATAACATTTTCTTTGTGTTTTGTTATATCTCAAGGTACCACATTCAGAATGATACACAAATAAAAATATATTCCAATTTAAAGTTTTATTTGAAAAATATATCAATTTTATTGGTTGACAATCCAAATTCAAAATGAATTGTTTAATGAAGTTTCTATGACATCACTTCCAGCTCCACGTTTTCTGTTGATCATGAAGTATATTGACAGTGAAAACCTATAAAACCCATTGTGAAAACTGGAATCTTCATTGAACCGACTGCATGAGATGAGAACCCTGTCGTTACTCAGAGTTTCACACTGTGCAATCTTCAAACAACTGACCCATTTCAGCCTGCGTCCCTACTGAAATACATATATAGTGCTCGATCAGCTGGTAAACAAATATTATCTATATATTATCTATATCCTTAAAATTACAAAAATATAAACAAAATATTCATTTATTTTTTTCCGTTTTCAGGAAGCCGTGGAACCGACGATTCCGACACCAAAACTTTAAAAACGAATCTCCAGGCTTCTACATTATCCAATAAGGCCGGTACGGTATCTTTCCTCAGCTGCTTCCAATCTCCATGCTTCTCCAATTGATCAAATAATGGCATCAACCGCCCTCTAAATTCTTCCACGCCGAATTCGTAGAATTTTGGAATGGTAAAAGCTATGATTCCACCTGAAAGTATTTGAGATATAAAAAGTGTGCTCTCACAAGATCTTATGATTATTTTAAGCTGTACAGGTTTTCCTTTTTACTTTCTGCAGTCACTATTTCAAGCGATCAACTAGTGAATTAAATTGAGGTTTAAGTCCTACCCTTCTGTACATGAATATGATAATGAAGACCGACAACGCCACACAGTATGCAATGAGGGAATTCTTCCAAAACAGCAACAGAAGCCTACTTGTTTTCGATTTGCAGTTGAGAGATCTTCCAAGTACACATCCATACAAGAGAATCTGTCATCAGTCTGTTGTCCCGCCCTTTGATCGCATTTTTTACGGACTGAGAAAAGAATTTAAAATATTTGATCTATTCAACCTCAAAAATTAAAAACCGATATAAAATACAGATCTCACACAATCTACTCTGCCTTTGCCAAAGTTTTCTATTGTAGGACCGAAGGTTATACATGCTTTGACAGTTAGTTCAGTAAATATCGGTGCACCAGGTACAATGCAATCTAGATAAGTAATACAGTTTTACAGCTGTCTAAATAACAGAACAAACCAATTTAACATTTGTAACTTTGTATTCAATCTAGTTTTGCGGGTGGAATATAGCTTTTGGTACGTTTTGAACATTCTAGTTGGATATAACCGTGTACAGACAGAATTCCACCAAAATCCACTACAGTCCATTAAATCAACAGTAAATACTGTACAAATCAAGCGTATTTCTGGTCAAAATTTAGCAATAACATCAAACAATTCCGTAGTTAACTACACCACGTTTCTACAATTTACATATTTGGTTTCTTGTGTCGTAAATTTTTTTTATGCAACATTTATATTTTAAACATCTATACGAAAATAACAAACTTTGCCGCAATATCTTTGACTACCTGGGGTCCACAACTCGGTGCTTCAGTATCTCCCAATCTGCGGTTTGTCTGCAATCTTCCTTATATATGACTAGGATGTAAATAACAAATTTCAAATACCTATTTTGACAATTCTGAGGATTTCGAAAATTCCATTTGTGGGAATATAACCTTCGGAGAGTCCACCACAGATAACAACACAATCATAGGAATCTGAAAAAAGGATGAGGATTGATATAGCCATCTTTCTTTTTAAGATTTCATTGGAAAAGAATTCAGTTCGAGGAGAATATGGCTGGTAGTCTTAAGAGGCAAGCACCTGTTTCTAAATCGTTATTAGGGCTATATTTTGTTGGAAAAAGGGAACACTTGAATTTGTCAGAAAATAATTCTAAACCTTTGTTTTCTTCTGAACCAACATAGAGCGCCTCTACTATTTTTAGCCAGGGCTTGCCGACTGAATGGATAGATATATAGAAGGCTAAAATTTTTATTTTTATTTTGGGGAAGGATATGTATGCCTAATCGGGACCTTTCATTCCAGTAGTAGTGAATTCGTCCGGACCACTGTCAATGTATATAGTAGTTGATTATTGAACACCTTGTGATATAGTTATATTGGCTATAGGTGTTTCGTGTTAAAAGTAATTCTAAAGTTACTATAAAGCAAAAAAAAACAGGGGCAATAACCCCTGAACCCTAATATAAAGTCGTACCTTACTTTGTTACTATTGTTCTCTCCTGAACGCCGTTCAGTCACTACGGACCTACAAAAGATTAGACAGACAAAAATGTGGCAAAAATAAGACATCTGTCAAAATGCCTACCTGCACAATAATCTCGTTTAATTAAGGAACGATTTGAAGAAAGTATAATGAAAGTAGAACATACCCGTTACGATGGACATTTTACGACCATCAACGTATTCATTGAAATAATTTTGATACAGATTCCGACTTAAGGCAACCTTCATCATTTCTTTACTGGGGTCGATGGCGTCTATTTTTTTGAATCCAAGTTTTATCAACTGAAATAATATAATATGGTTGATAAATAAAATATTAAAGATGGGTTCCCTTATTTTCATTGATGAAAATGAAAATGCTAATACTTATATGAATAGGAAGTAGAGGTGTTCTAATGACACATGTCCATAATTAATGGTGGCAATGGTGTATGATGTTTAATTGCAGTAATGGAATTGATCGAATTTTTTAGGGGCAATCCATCCTGTAGCGAGGACTCTATAAAAAGAAAGCGTATCTGAAAACGTACTTCGTTAGCGACGGCCCCAGTTCCAGCTGCAATATCCATGACCTGGACAAATTCTCTATTATCAATATAATATCCTGCTATAGCGTCAGCTACAACCTTAGGTCCGATATAACATGACGTCACCATTTGCTGAAATATTGGACAATCATTGTATTACCATGTGGAGTATGTAGATATTCTCTAATCGAAATGTATGTGTTTAACATGCCGATGGATAATGATGGGAACACTCTAATCCATTGAGTTAAGTAGTACTACAATGTCATGGAATAGAACAAATTGAAAGTAAACCAAATACAAAACATTGGTAGCAGCTATTGAACTTTACACATTAGGAGGTATATCAATCATGAGTGAATAAGTATTTCATAATTAAAAACACATCACATTTCACACATTACGTTGGTATTTTTATTGATGTTTTATATAGGTTGTGTTTTTAATGCAATGACTATCGTCTTTCAAAGCTTGTGAGTCAATTATTGTGCTGGTCCACTCCATACACATTTCGAACGCCATCATTTATCAAATACAATCTGAACTGTATGAAAATTGATATTTAAACTGTTATGTACCTTATCATATCGGCCGGAGGCTGCCCAATCATCCATCCTTTTCAACAATTCATCTTTAGACAACTTCTTCCTCTCCGCAAACTCTGCGTCAATGTGGAAGTTTTCTTGTCCATGTCCTGACATTGTGGTATTCTGTATGTCCCCTGAAAATATCTTTGTAGCTTTTATATAATGCATTCTAATGGCTTCGTGTCGGAAACATCAAAGCTTTCAGATAATCGTTAACACTCAGTCAACTCAGCAGTTGATATTATTGCAGTGATAAGATTAACCATTCAGATGTCCGGAATAAAGTCAGACGCACCACTTAACGTTTGAATTTCAAACCAGGGAATAATTCATTGATACAACAATGGAACATCCCCAAGAATGTAACTCAACCGTTAGGTGTTTCTATAAACAGACAATAGTACAACAGCAGACCACTCTCTAGAGTATAACCCAGAGTTAGTTGTTGTCTGTTGTTTCTATCAAGTGACAATAGTACAACAGTGGACCACTCTCAAGAATATAACCCAGAGTTAAGTGATGTCTGGTGTTTTTTTAAACAATGGCTTTTCAATATTTACCATCATCTGGTATTAGACTCAAGAAAAACAGTGCTTACTCCAACTTAACAGACAACTGATTTTACTTCTTCAGAACGCCACAATATCTTATCGTCCAGTACAACACAAGAAAGGAGATAAAATAATAAAATAGTACCCAACTCACCTAGCCGACACAGTGGATGCTTTCGATTTACACTGGGAATAATTTAATGAAGCTGTTGAATTTTACATTCAGTTATTTTATTAATAACAATCCAGGATGAACTTTTATACACCCACATGAAATTGTGGAGTTGTCTTGCTTAACACGTTTCTGTCGTCTTACCAATCCGTCTACATGAACCAGATAATGTAGACGTAAATCAAAAAGAAAACACATTCTTTCAAGGATCATTTTTGTTTATAGGGAAAGACAAGGTAACATATTCTTGGCAAATAAATAGTAATTGTAGTTCAAAGTTCACATATTCTTCCAAACATGCTCCATTTTGTTATTTGAGTTCAAGACTTTTCATATTGACCTTTTTTCAAAATAGATGTATTTTCGTTCCAATTATTTGACACAGGTTACCTCCCTTGTGATGTGAGTTTGTCCAGTGACTTTGAAGCTAATTCATGCTAATTATCCCTGTAATAAAGGCTACAATTACTGGACCTGATGGTCTTACACCTTTTATATCTTCTATTTAATATGTATTATGTTATATCCTTGACCAATCTAAAACAGTTTTTGTACATTTGTAATATTTCTGAAGATTATTTAAATATATTCAAGATCAACCCCCCCCCCCCTCCCCCCTCCCCCTCCCCCCTCGAAAATTTTGAACCATGGCTTTAAAATTTTCATCCTTTTTCAGTGTTCTTTGCTTTTGAAACATAATTTTAACTTATGTCTGTGCCGATCGTATGTTACTTTGTCGGACAAGTTGTGTAATGTCGTCTGACATCTCGCCATGTTTTGACAGTCAGTTGGTCAGGTGTACATTATTCTTGGTGTATTCGATTGGTCGGTCATTGAGAATAGAGCTCCACTCAGTATTGGTCTGACATAATTTCTCTTTTGGATGAGTTCAAATTATTGAACTGTATGGAAATGGGAGTATTTTGTTTTAATGCTGTGATTTAATTCTAGTGCTATAGAAATGGTGTAGACTTTAAATCTAATGCCCTTAACTACCATCACTTTTTAAAGATGGGTTTCCTTATGTCTTAGTGTCAAATTAAGCAAACAAATTCTTATGAATTATCATTTTTCAGATAATCATATCATTATGATCTTATTGCATAAAATTAAGAGTTTTAACCAATCATAAATGTCCATGTATGTACAATCTAGACAAACAGAAAGACTTTTTGACCTTTCTTGATCGGTCACTCGTTGGAATTATGATGGTAATTCTCTTCTAATTTAGCTAATTATGAATTAATTATGGACATGTGAGACTAACTGGTATTTTTCCAAGTCATTAGAACACCTCTACTTTCTATTCATATAAGTATTAGCATTTTCGTAAATAAAAATAAGGGAACCCATCTTTAATGTCGTTATTATTATCATTCACAATTCTTGTAATGTCATGGCGAGAAAGGCCACCCATGATGATAATCTATTATTTCCAGGTCAAAAACCTGAAGAGATGAGTTGTTTTCACGTAAATTTAAGCTTAAATAAAGCGGATGTAATACTATAGCTTTTTTAAAACAGGAATTATAACCAAACCCCCTTTTCCTGGTGTTCCTAAACAATATGTGCGTTTCTACAGTCCATCCGATGACCTCTGCTTTATCCAATCAAATTCTCCAGAAATTTTGTGACGCGAACAAAAGGCGTAATCCAAAAGGACTATTTATCAAGTCTACTGAAATTGAAAGTAGAACACGCCTTTTCATTTGATGTTCAAATTGTCCCAGTTAAATTTGATTGGTTAAAGTAGAGGTCATTAGGTTAGGTCAAAAGGTTATTGGGATGAATGTTCAAGAGGATCGTCTTTAGACGCTGACTGTATTGGCTACATTAAAAAAAGTAACTAATGAAAATCCCCTGACAACCGCCACAAATTCTGACAATGCCTTATAATATGAATATGTCTTGTTTATGAATGGAGTAGTTATTTCTTGAGCAACCAAATTGGTACATGTTAAGTCGCACAAAGATATTTGTACCACTACATATCAGATACTACTAAGATATCAGGGCACTATTTAAAGCATTTACACGTTCGTTCCACATTGAACCTGTTTTAGTCATTATGAATACTATTAAATATATCATATATTAGGTTGAAATATCAATTTTATTATTCTATCCAATATCAATCTGAACTGCTCGTATTTATGTTTTAAATCGTATCCGAATGTGCACATATATCAGTGTTCGATTTCAGTCCATTGCTGGGATTCTGTCTTTATCCGAAAAGAGTCCAACATGAAAGGGCAATAAATTCACCCAGATGGATTTAATTGTTTTTATTACTAACTACCCAAATATATCTCCCTCTCCGATATTCCCGTTTCCGTCGTCTGCTGGATTGTCCAGGTTCAACTGTAATGCATTCACCAAATCTTTGAGTGCCGTCACTTCCGATTGAATCAATGCGACTTCCGCCTTTAGATCTGTTACTTCCTGTTGTACATCTTCACACTTACACTGGGGCTCTGAAAAATTCAACATATATCCTTGGGTTTTATTTGTCTTATCACTTTCTTTGCCAGCTGATAATGAAGGTCGTTCTATCCGTATCTCATTTTAAAATCACAAATCGACAACATGTACCGACAGAAATGACCACATCGATGATATCTTAATGAGGGAGTGTGAAAAACCAATCTGAATAAATTATATTACAATTTCATTTCTGTTATGATTTTTTGAGTTGAAGGAGGTGGAGGTATAATATTGTTCGATTTGCCACAAGGCTGAATCCCCAGTTTGTATTTACTACAGAATTGCAATCTACATGATATGTATGGCCAATATGATATTCTCTTACCTTGATTTTCCGTTTTCAGCATTTTTCTACAGTAAGCGAAATCGTCTGTTGTATTGTCGGTCCAGATCCAGGTTCTCGCCCCGAACACCGGAAACATCGTTACTGGATACAAACTAACTGTAGCTTCCTGCCATGCCGAATCGTTAAATCTGAAAAAACAGGGGGTAGGGATTGAAATGAAGATTGACCCTCTACCTACGGTTCTGATAATAATTGGGGTATTTTCTGTGAGCGGCGACAGTAGTAGCCAACACAGATGTTCAACAGCCACAGCTGTAACCGTGGGAGACAATTATTATAATCTAGATGATATATATATATACTATACACTGAGTGCAGACAAATACAATTTCAATAAACCTTTATTTTAAGTGATACGGAAAGCTGAAATGTGGCTCTTTTAGAATTGATTTTCGGCAGAATATAGAATATAATTTATCAATTAAACAAATAAGATTTTGAAAACTGCAGTAAATAACATTAACGACAGCAGAATAGTCGTCAATTGAGTTTTAACGTAAAATTTATAGAAGTAAATGAAAAACGGAAAATTCTCTTTAAACAAATATCCCTTAAAAGTATTCAGAAAAAAAGCTTACTCTGGAGAGAACCAATTTTCTTCAAACTGTGGGGAACATGTCCACGAGTGGTCAGTCTTGATTCCATTACTGAGGGTCATTTGAATTCGACCGTTACTCCCTGCTTTTCGACATGATACTCCCAACACCTGGACATTGTCGGACACTTGGAAGGACGCAGTCGGATAAGCAGTGTTACTGTTCAGTATTTGTTGACCGTCAGCGTACACGTACAATTCACCGTAACAATATATCATACCAGTTGTTGGCGAGCTTCGTACTGAAATAAATAAATAAATAAATAAGTAAATAAATGAATAAACAAATAAATAAATGAATAAATGAATGAATGAATGAATGAATGAATAAAATGAAATAAATCAAAATAACATAACATAACATAACATAACATTAAATTAAATTAAATTAAATTAAATTAAATTAAATTAAATTAAATTAAATTAAATTAAAATTAAATTAAAATTAAATTAAATTAAATTAAATTAAATTAAATTATTAAATTAAATTAAATTAAATTAAATTAAATTAAATTAAATTAAATTAAATTAAATTAAAATAAATTAAATTTTAGGAAATAAGAAATGAGATGAAGAGAGAGCTGAATACTGTCGCTATGATAAATAGATACCTTGAATGACCAACAATAGACATAATAACAACTGTAGCACCATTTTATCACCTATCTCTGGAAAAGAAAGAAAACCTTTTTTCACTAACATTAAATGAAATAATTTATTCTTAATTTTCGCAATTTCAGAGTTTTCAATAAAAAATATGGAATAAACATCCCGAAAATAACAATCGAGATCCAAGGATAATTCCTATTTCTTATCAATCAATTTGCTGGGAAACCAATGATTTGGGTTCTTTGGGATATTTTACCAGTTGGTGCTTTTTTTTTAAACGTTTTGATGTTAATCTTTCCGAAAACCCGTCTCCATTTACACCCGAAATGACAATTTTCAATCATCTGGTGAAAATTCAACCAAAAAACCCCACTAAAATAAACCATGATCAGAAAATGACCTACCTCTATCTACCATGTTGAAATATGGATCTTCAAATGAGAACGTCAGCCCAGTTCAAATCAGATATACTTTTAACAGGGACATAAAAAGGGAATATTTAGTCCAGGCGTATTGTTGGTATAATAAAGGAACATTGTATGACATTGTATAGTAGGACTGGTTTCACAACACCTGGGTGTGCTGTGAAAGGGGTATGTCCTCTACAACCTTCACAGGTGTGATTATATTGTGGTGCAATACGGTGGAATTGTTCTTGGAAACGTAGCCTGCATCCCCATACCGGTATCAGCATTGAAATATTCCAAATGAAGGTGTGCGGAAATGTTGTTACAAAAAATTGAGTTCAAAGTTACACGCATAGAAGGGTGCTCTTGTCCTTTCAAAGGACTCCTTCCCTTTCGACAAAATGTTGGCACAGCACTGGCATTTTCCGGGCACCATAACATAAAGGATAGGCTTTTTACACATTTAGCTTCTACACGTATGGTAATAAATTATTGACATGTCAATTTACAATGCTGATGTGTTATCTATAATATATAGATTGTCACTAGTTTACATCCTAACACAAGTTACCATATTACCAACTATAAATAAAAATGGTGAATATGCAGGAAGTCATTAACATATTTTATGTAAATAGGGGTCTTCACAATACACAAAGGCCCATTTTATTTTTATCAAAGGAATTGTACCGTATTATATTCCGAGTTCAAACAGACATAGTCGACGTTCTTAGGCATGAATCAGAATGTTTACATTGAATCAAAACAGGGAGTTGTAAGTAATTCTTCCCGATACAAATAAAATACTACTTCAAGGGAGGTAATTCGCTAGTTACACACGGATAAAGGGCGATAATCAATCATATCAGTATCTCTCTTCTGAATTAACTAAGGACAATCCTACAGACACCCAATAATCAGCTGACGAGAGAAGCTACCTCAAGATAAATAGTTTTTAGACGCAGAAATGCATGACGTATTCTTGAGATACATGCTCGCTGAGATGTAGGTTCTGGTTTCCCTGCAGATTTTGTCTAAGAAGCACATTGAGACTTTTTAACCCGACTTCCCCCTGTATAGCGACGTCCGTCTTTACCAGTCTAATTAAAAGAAGAAAAGTTTATTCTTCATCCCGGTATTGCAACGTTTTAATTGATCACAAATTGTATTGTTTAATTAAAGGGACATTCCGCTTTTTTGTAGGTTGAAATTTTCTTTACTCTAATCTATGAAAACTTTAAACCAAAATCTAGAGAAATGTGCCCTTCAACATATCTGAAAGTTTTAAGTAAATAAATCCAGCTGTTAATTTTTAAACGCCAAAAATATTTAAAAACATTACGTAAGGTTTTAAAGTTTGTTATGCTTTTTGGAAGCTCTTCGAAAACTACTTTAAGGATTTGAGTAAACTAAAAGCCAAAGTGTACAGAAATATATCTCCTACTGATTCGTAAGGTTTCCACTAATAATATCAAGCCATTATATATCCAAACACCAAAATTAGATCAAACTGCTTAATTAACAATTAGTACTCTCTGTTTTTAATTAAACCTTTGACGTTTTTGATAATGAAAACTTTTTAGAAAAAAGCGGAATACCCCTTTAATATAAAATATATGGAGCTATCGTTACTCCTTGCTGATCACCTTTCTGCAGTTAAACATCGTCCGTAGATTATGATCACGAAATTGCTTTTGGTACTGGCGTTTGTATTGCGATATAGCAACAGTGAAAACGTGTTTATCAAGACGGCCCACCTTGTAAATCTTCGCCAAAAGGCACACAATGGTGACAATTTTACGACGTATTCAGTCAATGGTGTTAATATGCATAAGATCGATGTGTGGTCGTTACTTTTCTAAGTCAACGATGTTTCGATAAATGGCGGGGCTTGTGATAGTCCATAAAATTTGTTTTTATATCAAAATTATTCTAAATTGAGGGTCTATAAGAGGGTTAATAGTATTTTTGTGTATTGGGGTCAATCCGGGTCAAACTATTTAACCCCCATTATCTTACCGTTTCCATTCTTGTTTGTGATCTATTTTTCTATGTGGAGCAACGTTGGAATGTTTTTCTTTAAAATTGATGTTTTATCAAGGTCAATGTCTGGGTTCAATGTCATTTCCTCCAGAACGACCTGCAAGTTCTGTGAAAAGATGCTGAGTTGACATGAGAGTTCAGCAATCTGTTTTTTTACCATCAAACTATTTTTCCGGACATTTGAATCAAGCTTCATATGTCCCAGAAACTAGAACGATCTTTTCGCTTTCCAAGAATAGTTCCTGATAGTTTCAGACTGTGTTCCTCGACGTTTTACCAAGGTCAAGGTATGGATCCAATGTCGTCCCAGAAACTAGAAAGATCTTGCCGCGTATGAAAATAGTTCCCGATGGTTGGAATGCACAAGAACAAGTAACTGGGAACATATTACAATATATAATGACAAGCTTATGATTACAATTTTCAGAACAATTTACATGATAATTTGGATAAATAGTCGTGTTATTTCAAATATTACATAGCGTAACACACCTCTATTAAAACTGTCAGAACAGAGTGATAAACAATAACTCTCAGTGAGCAGTATGTAAAAAGTTTATTTCCAAAACCTTTTAAAATAATGGAAGTGATCAAAATGAATGCGTTTTCAGTTTATTCTTTTATTGTCTATGGTTCAGGGTTGGGAACTTTTTCATCTGGAACCCGTTTCCTGCATTTCTTGTCTGCGATCAGTCCAAATAAGGGAAATGTTCCAATAAAGCAGGCTAGGGAACCCATAACGAGTAGCGGAGTGTCGTACGATTCCGTCAAATCAAACAGCAGACCTAAAATAGAAACAGAAAATGGACCTTTGTTAAAATATCGTCCTTTTAAGAATACCATCTTTTACATATATACAACACATTGTTTGACTGAAATTATCACAAAACTATTACATAAGAAGAAAAAACAACTTAAATGCAATTGTCTAAAGCATACGAATTTGATCATGATCAGCTAAGAGATACATCTACATTGCCGCTACCCTTTCAGAAATTATGGTGTTATCTTCATGGGAAACTGTGTTTTGGAAACAAGAAAATGACGATTTTCTATCATTGTGAACGAAAAAGCTGGTAGGTACCAGATAAAGTCCGAAAAGATAAGTCAACACCGAAACCTTTATCAATACCAACGATATAACTGAGGGAGCTATTAACTGTATTAACCATAGACTGTACTCGCAAAATATTATTGTTAACTGATCAGCGGGTAATAAACAGCGAAATGTATTAATACTTACCAAATATAACACCACCAAGAGAGCTAGCTATACCATTAACTGTAATACTGATACCCATAGCCAGCGAGTAGGCTTCTCGTCCAACCAGGTCCAAAATAACGACACCCGCTATACCAATCTTGCCTCCATACATAATACCGAACACCACTATAAGGATCACAGTTCCAATGTAAGTCGTCACTACACTCAGAAGAACAAGGCTAACGCCCGACACGATCACAGATAAAGCCAGCAAGAATGAGCTGCTCACAAACGGCAGCATGTTTATCAATCCAAAGCCGATGTTAAACACCGTACTAATGATTGTTATCAGAAAAATAAAGAACACACCATCGCCATGTTTATTGGCCGCGAAGTCTAGAACAATAAAAAAGAATCCATTCGTGGAAGCGAATCCTATGAAAGCTGCGAGGCACGTCAAGACGTATCTGTAGCACACAATCTTTTTTAGCTTCGTCTTCAGACTCAACTGTGACGTTTGTTTCTTCGCCTCAGGTTTTCCGGACTTCGCCCTATCGATGAACACGGTCATAAGATACCCAAAGACAATTGGTTGGAGGGAGAGACCGGCGATCACATAAAATGCTCCCCTCCATCCATAAACGTCTTGTATATAGTCATTAAAGTAAGGAAACAGACTCTGTCCCAAGCCACCTCCAGCGATAATGGCCCCCAGGGCGATGCTGGCAGATTTAGAGCAGATGGCGGATACTGCTACTACACTTGCTAGATAGACACAGCATAGACCGGCACCTGAAATATATCAATGTTTATCAAAACAGAAACACCAGAAAACACCCATATCTAAAACATTATAAGCGAAAATACCTGTACAAACGGTGTCCCGTGTAAAAGTTAAAGTGAGGCGACACATATAATAATGACATTTCGTTTTAAATGTTTAACTCAAGGGAAATAACTAATATTATCTAATGTTTCTGTGTTTCTGAAGACACAGATTCATATTTGACAATTTGAAATTTGACTGATATTTGGACGTGAGCTTTCTTTAGAAGTTTTCATGTAAGATGTTGGCAACAATAGGAAAATGGTCAGTCAACAATACCACCAGTAAGACTATTGGACCGAAATATCCGATTCTATTCCAGCCTCTGATAGCTATTTTGGCAGTGTTGCTACTCCAGCTGACAGCTTTCATAATAGCTATCAGAAGCTGGAATAGAATCGGATGTTTCGGACAGTAAGACAATGTAATTTATAAACTGAAAACATATTCAATAGGGTTCAGATACTTACCGGATACTAAACCGATGCTTATTACCAACACTGTAGTATTAGGAGCGAACACAGCCCCAATAAATCCGACACACGATAAGATCGAACCCACAATCACCGTAAACCGGATACCACACTTATCTATAACTACCCCTGTGATGGTTCCTGGAAATGGAGAAACATATTGAGGTTAAAAGAGAAAATAAATTGAGGTGTCTGTATTCGTGATTGTTTCTTTTGATGACTAATTAGGTAGAGAAGACAATGGTTTCTTAACATTCTACTATTCTGTTTTTTTTTTCAAATTTTGTCTTATTGTGGAAATGCAGTTTATGCCCCTGTTGTGATTGGCTTTACTGTTGAAAACAAAAGTAGTTTGAGACATAAAAAAATTGGTGAAAATATAATCTCCAATAATCTTTTAATTTTCAATCAAATCATGTACTATGAATCTATGAAATATTTTGCTACCTATTAATTGTCTGGTTTTCACTATAAGCTAACCGTGCAAGTTACTAGAAGAGCCAACGATTTACAAGGGATGAACTTGTATAGTTATATTACAATTGCATAATGCATCCATGATGATATTTTGGTATTTTTTTCCCCGATCTTGTTAGCTTTAGAGAGAACACGTTTAATTCAACACCAACAATCAAATTGTTTACCAACTGGTACAGTAGACAAATGCATTCGGAAAACATCACAGCTAGCTGGGCATTGTCCAAATATTACAGCACACTGTTAAAGGTCAACACCACAATAACATATTTACTATCTTAGACAGTTATATAATCTACCCGGGTAGAATTAGGCAAGGAATATTGAAATGGTGAAAACTGAATTCTGTTAAACACTGATTATTTTTGTTGGAAAATACAAAGATCTAAACAATTATACTATCTTCGTATTTGTCAGAATCGTGACAGAGCAAAAAAGGGACTAAGAAAAAGACTCATATTAAGAACATCAAAGTTGTAAACTAAAGGAGAACAATGACTCACGTGTTTATCAGATCGACCTGGTAGAATCGTAAAGCAATTGAATTTGCAACGACTGCTATCAACAGGTGCCATCGTGGAGAATATGCTCGATAGTTTGATATTGTTGGTCTAAGAGCTCTTATGACTTGGATACCAATTATCGTTAGTTGCTCGCGTTCTTCTTTCTAGCAAAAATTGAATCGGAAAGTCGTCTCGAGCAGTATCAAACAGTCTCCAGCCAGTTGGCTATAATCGCCCATATATCGAAATAATTGTTTCTCTCCTATCGGTTACGACGGATCTCATGAGATGGTTTTCAATGGCGCGTCTGACTAACATTAGTGCTACAGAATTGTCAAGGAAAAGGGCGGGTGGGGGAGGGTGTCATGGGCAATTCTCTACCTACAGAAACTCGGCTGGTATCTTTAATTGAAAACTATTATTATTTGTTTATTGTTTCCCTCGACCATCCCTTTCTTGTGGTTTCTCCCGGCTTTTCGGATATCGATCGATTTATTTTGATTTCCGGTTAATTAAATATCGTGTTGTTGTCTGTTGTTTAAAATATGACTTTTATATATTTGGAAGTTTGAAAATGTTTCTGTACGACTGATGTACAACAATACTTACCAACACCAAACATAATGCCGACATGTACAGACTGAATCAGGGCCGTCCTGGCTCGCCCCTCTTGAAACTCTTCCAGCCATATTGGTAGGAATGTACCGATAGAGAACGGTATTCCCAGTGAGAAGAAACACACCCAGAAGGCACAGAAAACAACCAAACATTGACTGGATAGCTTGCGGGAATTCTGTTTCTTTTTGACTGGAACAGTTGATACTGTTGATTTAAAACTGCCCTTTGACGAGATCGTACTGAAAAAAAACACGGGGGGTATTTAAAGGTATCGGATTAATATAGGCTTCGGCTTGTTTCTGAAACCATAGTTTATTTATAAATATATTATAATTTATAAATTATGAATATTGTTTAAATCGGTATTAAAAGTCAACCAGGGTGGAACCAGAACTCCTCATTTTACAACAGTCACGACGTATATTACGTACGTAGTTGTTAAAGGAAAATGGGACTCGGGTCGCTTATTTTATATGTTAACCGAAAGCGTTCTTTAGGTGCAAATAGGCGAAGCACGTATTTCGTAAAAAGTGTCTGGTGTATAGTGTACAATTAGAGAACAATTCACGGGTCTGGAGTGTCATTCTGATAGCTATTTTGTACGGATCCCGTACAGGGGCAAATAGATGATTCACAGAATGGTACAAATTAAATTTCAGCTTAATTTTAATCTTAAATTGCCTGCATAACATCGACTGTTATTTATTTTTCTTTTCTGTAGTTTATTATATATTCATTTTGAAATACGTTTCTAAACTAAATGTTACACTTGATCGTATTCAAATTGTATTTCATTGTCGCTATACAAAATCAGTCAACCAATAATAATACATGCATTATGATTTAAATATTGACATTGAAGATATGGTATAAATTATAGGCAGTGTAAAGAGGTTTTTTGTACCGTAATATTACTACTACTGGACTAACTTGATTTACCAATTGGTCGGCTCACTGTATTTAAAACCAGATATTTTATCATACATACAAGGATATGTCGCTCTCTAATTTGCACAAATACCATACAACTCTTCCAATCCATTATAACTTAGCAATATAAGACGTAGTAAATTGGAATGTCCAAAATAGAAGTCAAATGTGTCCCTGATAAACATAAAAGCTAGAAAACCTCTTTACAATCCCTTTAACAACTAGATGTCCATCTAAAAATGCCAAAATCCAATCTAAGCATTAATTGAAAGAATATATTCATCTATAAAATCAGTCCACCAAGTACATACATGATTTAAAAGATGACAAAATTTGAGATTCAGAGGAGATCATCAAAAGCATTAGAAGCTGTAGACAACTAGAGCTTATTCTTACACTAGATCAGTGATGTATTTTAAATCACAAAATAATGGTAAAACATAAAATATAAACTTTGAAAAGAGTTGAAAATTCGTGTTCAAAATCCATCTAATACATTACAGAACAATTATTTCTACCGATAATTCAGAAATATGAGCAAGTCAAGCAACTTGGTCAAAGTTTTAATAATACATCGTCATCCTAAAACATCAACAGTGGAGTAATTGGAGAGACACAACTAGTTTCAAACATCAATTTAGAATAAACACTAGAAATCTGTGCTCCAGGAACATCAAAGACAATGTCAGATATCCTTGTCCAGAACGATTTTTAGCAAAAAGAAGGTTATCTAATAATGTAGAAAAAATTACCGATGAATTGCCATAGTCGTACTATGAATTAATCCATTACATCCTGAGAAACCATCATTGGCACAATATCTCAACTTAGCTACAGTTATAACCGAATAGTAAATTCTGTTGCTTGGGAGATCAAATTGAAGATACGAAGGTTGTCACCACATTGAAATTGTCCAGATAAAATGAACCACAATATAACTCTCCTCCGTAGACGTAATAACCAAATTTTTTTTTTTAGTTTTTAAATCTCGACACCACATGACGCTGTTTTTTAAACTTTCAATTTTTGTGATATTTTTTCACGAGAAAATCTATCATTTTATTTGGGGAAATATATAAAGAAGATTTTACAAAATTTGAATTTGAATTAAATCGAAAAGGTACAAAGTTGAGCAAACGAACAAGTCTGGGACAGCAGCGAATTATTACAAAGACACTTGGTGCTATGACCATCCAGATGGTAAGTACCTTGCTTTAGTTTGAGATGTCCTAACTGTATTTTGATAGTATACCAAGAATAAGCTATACAAGTCTATCACAAATGAAATGAAAAAGATGGAGTCTTACGCCCTGCTGTTCTGCAGCGCGAGTCGCCTAGTAAAGTATTTAGGGGGAGGTCCATTGGGCCATGGCCTCCAACTCAGGTCTGTGACAGGTCTTTTGTTGAAGTGAAAATTAAGTCCTCTAAATGCTAGAATTTCTTGTCAGGCCATCTGAAATCTGTTGCCTTCCGGAGTCTGCTTCCTGCGACCCCTACTACGGACATTTCCAGATACGACCTTGAGCTTGACACAACATAATATGCCGACACATTTTGTAAAAATAGTTTAATTTTATATATGCAAATTTTAAAACAAAGAATTTTGATGGTGAAATTTCTTGTGAGTCTTACCTTTCATTTTCGTCCGTCGTCTCCGACTCGATCGTAACACCCTCGAGAGACACTACAGCTGCTTCGGAGAGATTTTCAACATTATCAACATCATCATCACAAGACTTTCTATCTTCATCAGCATCATTTAAACTGAAGTTATCAATACCAACCTTTCTTTTAAAAAGCGGAAGCAAGCTCTTTGGATCCAAAATGATCGGTTGCAACTTGAAGGGGGTTGAATGTCTCCGTTTTTCGGGGTATTTATCAGACAACTGTGAGCTGATGTCATTTTCGCTTGAACACATAAAATTAGGATTGGTCATAGGGGGGCCATATAGGTACGAATGTACTCGATGATGCTCAGATATACATGGAACACTGGAACGTCTGACCCAGGGGTCATTTGATGATGGAATCACATCCGGTTTAATCGCATTGCGTTGTTCTGATACTCTCGGGTTTGAAATCACACTACAGTCTAATAAACTGATTTTGAAATTCACATTCACTTTTGTCCCGAGTGGTGAAGTTTTTTCCAAAGTATCAAGTTCCTCGGTGAAGTCTTTGCTGTTTTTTCTATCCTTTTTAGTCTTCCTAGGTGGTGCGCTGGTGGACTTTCCCACATTACTATTACTCACAGACTTACAGGCCTTAGATATAACATTGTCCAACTTTTCAAGTACATCAGCACTGAAGTTATCCTGTATTTTGCGCACCTGTCTATCGTTGTTTATTCCCGGGGACGTCTCAATACCGCCATCATCTCGGGATGACCTCGCTTGTTTTTGAGGAAACTCAAAGATGCATTTCGGATTTGCCATTGCGGTGAGAGGTAGTGTAATTAGACGCTGCCGCCGGTGATAAAGAAATGGAGAAATATATTCGACTGATATATAATCTCCAAAAGCTATATATTTAGTTGCTACAAAAGATTTCCATTCAAGTTTTCCTTTTACAATTCACAACACGTTTCGCAAAGTCATCATTCTCATTCATTTTAAACATATATTTTTAAATTTCACTATTCAATTCGTAATTCGACATTGTTAATAACTAAATTTGGATATCCTTTGTATTGTAGCAGATTACCAAACTATTCAAACACACATTTAGAATATAAGTTTTTTTTTACCTAGACGTGGTTATTCAGTGAAAAGATAAGCCAAAAGGAAAGTGTCACGGTTCAGTTATATCCGCCAAGATTGTGTTGTCCATTAGAGGTTAAGGTATGTATAGCATACATATCTAATTTTTAGTAAATGGCAAGACGTAATTCGTAATACACAGAATGTCGGAGTACTCCGGTTTAGTAAACTGACATAACAAGGTAATCAATCGGGATGAAAACAAAAATTATATCGGATTTCACAAAATGTCGGAGTACTCAGATGTAGGATTTCACAGAGATGACTGCATGTAATCCCGAGTTTAATCGTCAAACTGTACCGAGACAACCATCACTTTACTTGATTGATTTCAGAGTTGATTTAATCTGAAAAGACAATAAAACAGAGAGGTCATTAGGTTCCTTGATTTTATCAAAAAAGTGTAAAAGAGTCAACAGTCGTGACGTGTCTCAATGAAACTGTATTAAAGATATACTACCTCTTAGGATGACCAAAAATTGAAATTTTTAAAACTTGATTCTAATGAGTCTGTTTTAACCAGTGGACTTACCTGGTGTCATAACTATACCCAATAAATCCATACAACTAAGTAATAATTCATGCCTTGAAGCGTGTTTCAATAATTATTTAATTTAATGGATATATCGTCTTAAATAAAATTTATATTCTGTATTCATGATACCTGGTAAGTCCAACTGATGAATATATACACTTATTGACCAAGTTTGAGACATTAAATTTTATATCCATTCAAAGGGTTAGTACATGTATTCCTTTAACGTGTCTAAATGATGAACACTGACATGTTCTCAAGATTCAGTCCAACTTTAGTTCAGAATGAAATGGTGTTAACGTCTTACACATTGCACTTGTACTTGTTTAGGTGTTAGGAGGTGAAAGCCGACACCGGGCGGACTCGCGGAAGCCCTGGCATCAGAAATTTGGGTAAATGAAGACGGACAATATATTGTAGTGTCCTATGATGTAAATTGAGCCAGGACGGCCAACTGTCGAGGTATCTGAAACGTTAAAAGCCTGTAGACTCGGTTTATTGTGACACCCAGGCAAAATGTTTTTTTTCTACTACGACCTTCATCACAAAATGTTGGAATAGGGTTGAAAAAAGGGTATTATCTCGACCCATGCCGGAATTTGAACTCTAGACTTTCAGGTTAGTGAGAATGTGTCCAACTGACTACCCTGGCCCCTATCGTATTCACTTACAGCAAATCGGAAATTCAAACGTGTTAATGTACACATTTGTGTTATGTATTTTTACTAGCAAGTGCTTTTCGACTTTAAAAAGTTGAAATTCCAGAACAAAGAGAGCTAATTCCTAATTACTAATCGTCAAATATGTGAAGGATTTGTTGGACAACAAAAACAAAGCTAGGTCTATATAGAGTAAGATTTTATTTAATCCTATAAACACAATAGATAAATTTCTGAGATTATGGAATGAGTTATCTTCGCCTCCTGATTCTAACAGTTAACAGATGATCATCCATCAGGAGCACCTAATGCCACTTTACATCTGAGTTTGACAACTCGATATCCCTTTACACGAGCCCACATAGCTAATAATGTTTACTTGGTAATTTGGCCAGCATTCATTTTTGAAAATCCACATAGCTAATTATTATCATGTACGATATGAGTTGGTCAACTAGACATCCGTAACAGATGGTCAACATAGCCATTCGGTATTTGGGTCGTCATCCCGGCACTCGTTATAGAGAGTTCACATGGCTAGGAAAGTTTATCTATAATACAAATAGCTATTATTATACTAATTTATCTATTTTCATCGTTATATTAATCTTTATTGAAATATTATATCATTTTTTAATGTACCTGAATTACACTGGTAGTTTTTGGAAAAAAACGTCCAATTGATTCTCGTTATTGACTTATAATTGATGATAAATAATGTGATCTGTACACCTTTATACAAACAAAGTTTAAAATCTCAAAATCAAAAAGTGCACTGAAAATGTAAATCAGTACACTTTAGTCAAAAAAGTATAACGCAATAGTTACACCCTTATTACGTCACATTTGACACAAAACCTTCAATATGATCAGGTCGAAATTGTTTTCATGTTGTTTACGGTCATAGATATTTCTTTCTGTCTTGTTTTGTTCAAATGTAGTTCACCTAATGTATGTCAATGTCCCTTTTTGCAGTTTTATTTGTCAATCGTTCTAGTATACTCCTCTAAGGACACCGCTCTCAAATATACAGAGCACGGTTTGAAATATTTTAGTCACGCTTGTTATCATACGAAATGAAAATAACACACGAAAGCAGTTCTCAACCATTTTGAATCTTTTTTATACTTATTAAGTGGAATTTTGATAAAAGCTAGAATATTTCAACAAGGCCTTCAAATCACATTTAAACGTGTAGAAATGGCTTTAAATATGATTTGAAGGCTTTGTTGAATCACATTTAAACGTTTAGAAATGGCTTTAAATGTGATTTGAAGGCTTTGTTGAATATTATCAAAATTCGACTTTTTAAAGTCTAAACAGAGATTCAAAATGGTAGTTTCGTATGATTTGTGATGAAATGGACAAAATAACTTCTTATCTTTCTGTACAAAACTGTGGGAGCCGCGGTGGCTCAGTGAGTTAGACGCTTGCTCGCTAACCTGAAGGTTAGGTTGGGACAATAAACCGAGGCCCCGTGTGCTACAGGCTGTGCACGTTAAAGATCCCTCGACAGTTGGAAATCGAAAAAGAGCAGGCTGATGCCGCTGTCCTGGCAAAATTTCCCTCATTGCACCCTGTGGGTCTTCATTAGCCCACATGATGCAGAAAAGTAGGACGTAAAACTCCATTCATTTCATTTCTGTACCAGACTGTGTTTATGAGAATTTGTATTTAAGATTTGGATAGATGTATTTTATTTATGATGAAAATGTTTTGAATATCGACTGTTTTTAAAATCGTAACTATATAAAATAAAGTTTATGAAATACGAATTAATCCCTCGACTGATATATATAAATAGTTGAATAAATTTGATTTCATCAAAAACGGCGTAAATTTACACCTGAAAATATTAGGAACCTACTAATTGTTAATTAAGCAGTTTGGCCTTGTTTTTGTATGTGGCTTTATTATGGCTTAATATTATTAGTTTAAACCTTCAGAATAAGTAGAATATTTTTCTACAATTAGGCGTAACGAACTTTTTGTCTTTCAATAGTTATGGCGTTTAAAAAACTAGCGGTTGGATTAAGGGACACGTTTTCTTGGGTTTTGGTGTATAGTTTTCATAAATATAAGCAAAAAAAAATATCAATTTACGAAATAAAAACCAGTTAGCAACATGATGATGTATCATTTAAAGAAGTCTTAATATAATGAGATAAGACGTCTCTGAAATGGCCGTCAAGCAGGCAAACCCCACTCGTATTCCCTTTTTCCATCATACCGGATGCCGAAATGCGTTTAATTATCGTTGAAACTCTACTACAGGAAACTGTTTCTTACCTTGGTTATTTTACAATAAACAAAGATTCCAATGAACTTAACATATTTGAAATTGATCCAGAATAGACAAAGAAGAATCAGTTTTGTACAACACCGAGCATCAACAGCCTCTAATGAACTGAAGATTCGAGGTGGCTGAATTTAAAGAATTAGAAAAGCCAACCAACTTGTTGACTTTCTATCGACCAAATCACAACATACTGTTGACTAAACACATTTTCGGTAACCTTGAAAGTTGATTTTTTAATCTCTAAAAGATCTGTACAAGTTACAAGTTAAAAGTTCAGTATGAAGATTGTTGATCTTTATTTAGATGTCAATTAGAAACATACAATACAATATATTAGTTTGTGCTTTGTTTTCTTCAGACCCCTGGACATCATTAAACAAAACGACTTTTTCTACTATCAACATTTCCATCTAAAAAGTGGAAGGTATAAACCCCAATTGACGTTAACAGCTACGGTCTTACCTTGAATTGTATCTGTGATATTTGCACAATATTTATTTCCATATTAGTAGCATATTTAAGTGATTACATGTCCTACGCAAGCAGTTATATAGTATTAGAAGAGCGTAATACTACATGTCGTTCACGATCAGTAGAATATTCATTATGAAATACTTACTCACTTAAGATTGATATACCTCCTCATGTAAAAAGTTCATTAGCTGCTACCAATGTTTCGTCAATATGTTGTTTGGTTTTCCCGATTCATTTTGCGTTCAGATCGTTAGTATTTGGTTTTATTCATTAGTTACTTACCTTGAGGTGCAACTGAATAATAATAATATTGCTGATTGGCGGAGGTGACACAGTATATCTGTCTAAGTCTAGGTTTGAACTTCCATGATGGATGGTTGGTAGATGCCAATTTCACGTCCGCTCCAACTTTGAACTTGAGCGCCAATGAAGGTTATATATAGGTAGGTAGATGACAAGGTTATATATCCACGTGAAAGACTTTTAAGCCTCAGTAGTCAAATACAAGGCCGAGTGGGTTAAGGTTCGGCTTACAGGTAGACCATCAAGTTATAAAGAATAGTTACAACAATAACTCTCTAATCAGCCCCTAATGAGGCACATGAAGTTATAAATTAAACCCAGTGATCAGTAGCTTATTTAAAGATGGGTTTCCTTATTTTTTAGTGTCAAATTAAGCAAACTATTTGATTAATTGGTGTTTCTAATG